CCGTATAAAAGCAAATTCAGCAGGTCCAAAATATTGCAGCCAGGTTGTTAACCGGGGTTGGTTACAGGGATCACATAACCCCTTATGACAGCTCCACTGGCTTCTGATCCATTTCCAGGTACAATTCAAAATGTTGGTTCCAACCTATAAAGCCCTAAATGGCTTGGGTCCAAGCCATCTGAAGGGCCATGTCTCCCTTTATGAGTCTGACTAGGTATTAAGTTCATCAGGGGAGACCACCTCCCTACCACCTTCACAGCCCCTTGGTGCGGTCACAGGAGAGGCCCTTCTCTGTCCCTGCTCCCAGACTCTGGAATTCCCTCCCACAGGAGCCCAGGCTGGCCCTATCTTTGCTGTCCTTCTGCAAGTAGGTGAAGAACGTTCTCTTCAGGCAGGATTGTCCTTAGTGATTGGCTGTTGTAAATGGAGTGTTGTGCCTTGTTGCTTTGAATCTGTTCTTGATGTTGATTTTGTTTACCATTTTTAATATGGTATTTGTTTTGATTCTTTTTCATATTTGTATACTTACTGGTTTTAGCTTTAACATTTGATCCTGTAATGATGTAAGCCACCTTGGGTCCTTTTTAGGAGAATGGTGGAGTAAAAATATTTTAAATAAATAGCTATGTAGCCACACATACATTTGAGTTTCTTTGCATTGTGAAATAACCAGATTACAGTCAAAGGAACTGACTTAACAACCATTTAACAAGAAAATTCCACGTAACTAATAATTTTCATAGAATCTCAGTCCCCTTCTAGGGGACAAGGTGACAAATAAAAATGGCCTGGTTATTTTGACAGTGACTTTTCTGCCCTTAACTATATGCGTTACTAGGGAGAGCAAAAGTAAGTTTAAACAACACTGACACCCAGTGGCTGGCTACATCCACCAGAAGACTAGAACATCATCGTTCTGGATCATACAGGAATCAAGTGCATTTTAGTTTCCATAAGCAGCTAGCCTGGTAACACACACACACTCCTAAATCTGGTGCCTTCAAGATGTTCTAGACTAAAGCTCATACCCTCATCAGCCAGCATGAAAGGTCACAAAAATATGACATTTCATTATATGGGCTTTGTGAGCTCAATTTAGTAGACCTATCATATCAATGTCAATGGAAGTAGAGTTCTGAAAGTTGCTTTTAAAAATAATTAATTACAATTGCAGCCCCAACACCCAAAGAAATAGTTACTTCTTTAATTATCATGTTTAAGAAGTAACTCTGTTTTCTCATGTCTCATCAGAAGCTAAAAGAGTTGCTTTTTGTTCCTTAAAAAACCCAGACTTCTCAAAGCTACAAGTTTCTGATCTGCACAACAAAGCACACTCTCTTCCACCCCAACACACATGGCTGTGCCCATAGCACAGCACAAGAGGACACCGTTTGAACCATTCGGTATTCCTTCCTGATTATTTAGTGAAGTTTGATCTTCACCATCCTCTCCTTTCTCTCTTGACTTTTCCAAACTGCCTCTATTGATCTGCAGTTGCAAATCTTTGGTACAAAAACCCATGGCATAAGTCAAGTAGTAAGAAGAAGCCTAATTCTCTGTCGGGAAGCAGGCTGCCCATATGAAATGCCAGCAGGCCCCATCATCTGAACAGACAGTGCCTCCTACAGAAAGGGAGAGCAAAGGAAATGCACCATGGTGAAAGGTATGGTTGCATTGAACACATCCCAGACAGCCACCAACCGCCAACAGTGCTGCATTTCAAGCATTGAAATCATTTGAACTATCCAGCTATAAATGCACTGAACTTTGCACATAATTTATGTATCAACTGAGTTCTCTATGTTTCATTGTAGTCTCGGCAATCTCTGAACTGAGACTTTCATTCCATATATGAATTCATGTCCTGGGAAATACACTGGTTAAGAGTAGAGGCCTGGTCACTAGATGGGCAAGGCAAAAATTGAATAGAATAAATGAAATAAATAGATAAAATAAGACTTCTGTGTTTATTTTTCTTTCATATTCTTCATGGAGTATACTTTCTGTTTTTTCAGTGTTGAAGCTATCTCCTTTGTTTTAGGGGCAAACGCATTGTGTTTGTGTGTGCGTGTTTCACTATGCTACACTGGCTATACTGTATCACTCTATGGCAGGGCAATCAGCTCCACATTTTACCCAGAATTCAACAATCTAATTAGGGCACACTGCCTTTGACCACCTGGTCTGGCATCACAAAAAAAGTAAAGTGTAACATGAAACAGGAATTCAAGAACTAAATGAGAAAAAGACTCTTCCCCCCCCCTTTTTTTTTCTATCAGTATCAGTCATTGGAGTAAACTTTTCCAAGTTGCTTCTACCATCCTCTGGACCAGAATGTTCAGCCAACTCTTTCAGCTCAGTTTTATTGACTCCTGGGTTCTCAGCCTAATTATTCAGCAATTAAAATAACGTGCATCCCATGTGATTAATGAATAAACAAAAGGTGGAGGCATGGAAGAAAGAGACAGGACATTTGGGCAGTTCAGGGGATTCATCAAGGCAATAATCTACAGGTTATTTTACATTTAGGCCAAGTAAAGTGCCTCCATCTGATAAATACCTGTCAGGCTTGCAGGTATTAGTGTTCTGGAAGTATTATGCAAAGCTACAACTGGAATCCTTAGAAGACCAAAGACTTAATGCAAAGACCACAAGAAAGAAAGGAAGCAAAAGCACTTTGAAGGAATAAAAAGTAGTATGTGGTTTCTGTGAGGTGATTTTTAACTTCTTCAAGGCTGGGAGGCAGAAGCATTTCTATCTCATGGACTTTGAGCTTGAAGATAATAGCACACTGTCAAAGCCAGATGTTTTGTATGAAAAAAAGTGTTAAAATAATAATAAAGGGAGTAAAGACTTGTAACTCTGAAAATGTAAGCTGATGTTGTGGATATAGATATCTAGAGAAGACTTACTTCACCATGCGTAATATAGAGAGTTATTCTCAGATTTAAACTACTTATACCTTGATAACTAGATGAACTTTGATATGATTGAAAAGGTTATCTGATCTCATTGAAATTAGCTAGATCAGGGAAAACTGTCAGCTGTGACAAACCCCCACAGATTCAAACAACTAAGAAGTGTAACAAATCTTGTTGTGCTCTGAAGACTTTGTTGAAGTCTCATACATTTGACCCTGACAACACATTTCATCTGGAAACCTAGGCTTGGGAAGGGAGAGGAGGAAGAAAAAGTCCACATTTTCGCATGTCTCATTACAGCTACTTCATCCACCCCAGAAGTCAATCATTTTGGTGGCAGTAACAAGACCATGTCAATTTCAAACCTAAAGGAGGAAGGATTCTGTTACTTTTTGAAAGTGCTGTCTGAACATTTATTTATTTGATACAATGGATAAACGCTCAACTATATATTTTTAAAAACTTGACTTTTAATTCTGGTTTTAATTTTATATTGTGCAACAGATGGACATATTTTATTAGACATTTAGATCTGAGAAATATGCCAAAACTTGCCATCAAGAAGAAGGGGAGCCTTTCACTCACCATCCACAATGCCATGCCCAGACATTATCCATTACACATTATATATGAGTTAGTTATCTGGCTGTGGAGTCTAGAGTTCTATTCCCCATTATACCTCCTGGAAGAAGAACCAGCCTCTGTGGTCTTGGGCAAACTACAGAATCCCACAATGCCTCCTAGAATGAATGAATGAATGAATGAATGAATGAATGAATGAATGAATGAATGAATAGAAGAACTTGAGTACTTCTAAGTATTCTCTACTTAGACAACCCTATAAGTCTGAATTGAGTTGTTGGCAGACAATTATTATTACTATGACAGTACCCTTCAGTGGGGGGAGGGACACATTTAATTAGGAGTAATGATTTGTGGCTTGGGGGTTAGTAGTAGTTTTTGTTTCAACAATTTTGCTCAACTTGATTTTTTTTAAAGGCAGGGGGGAGTCTGTGTTTGCATTAACCTGATCTTCAAAAATAAGTTTTATAAATACTAAATCAAAGTGAAAAACTAGCATCACATTCAGAGAGTATCTCTCTCTCCACCATACAGTTTTGCCTACAGTTCTCCACCCATTGGCCATGATCCAATATAATCATTATATTAAATCTTCTGCTGGATTGTGCTGCTTCCAAAGCCTCCCCTCCCTGTACATCTGCCTTTGTACCCTAAGCGTTTGATCCGGAAGGCTGGAAAACAGAAGGCTGCAATAGTGGGATGGGGAAGAGTAATGGGTAAGAAAGTCTTCAATTTCACTGGAATGCAAAATTCAGAGAGGTATGTCAGACGTTTGGCACCTTAAATACAAAAATAAATAGGAAGGCACTTTCAGTAAAGGAAGCCATGCACATACAGTACGGGTGGTGGGAATTCTACATTAATTAACAATGATCTCTTTAAATTTTGCAACATAATAACAATTATATGCTGTCAAGCCAATTCTGACTTAATGGCAACCTTCTCTGGGTTTTCTGAATATAAAGTACCAGAAGTGGTTTACCATCCCCTTATCCTGGGAATGTTCTAGGATTGCGTAGCCTGCCCAAGGCCACTGCGGCTCTCTTTTACGTCTGATACAAACATAAGAAAAGCTAATATATCTTTTAGGAAGTCAAATAAAAGCAACCCTCTTATCTTTTAACTTATATTAAATCATTACCTTTAAGGAGAAAGTTTAACATGCTGAAAAATGGATTCCCTTTTGTTTCCCCCATTTTCTCCATCTTATATCAAGCAATCTGAATATCTGACAGGTAGGAAGCGAAACACTTGACATATTCCTCTGTTAACTTTTGTCATGTCAGTGTCACATCTAAAAGACAGAAGTGCGTATCTCTGTTTTTGTGCTGTTTTTGTTCAGGAATTAGAAGCTCACTCCTGGAGCATGGTTTGTGACCCACTCCAGCACAAGATTAGCAGGAGTGTTCCGGGAGTGAGCCTGTTGCATGTGAAGCCTGGCAAGTTCAGCTGATGCTACTGTACCTTTAAACTCTGGAATCAAACTAGCCAAATGAGAAATGAGCTGTGTGAGGTCCAGCCCTCAGAGAGCAGCTTCAGCTTCAGAATTACTCCACAGGGACAGGCAGCGCTGACACCGTGCTTCTTGCTCTGGCAAGACTCCATCCAGCCCTATGGCACAGCACATTGCTTCTTTTCTCCTACTTGTCCTCACCCTGGCAAGCTCATCCTTTGCACGCCGAAAGCTCCTGCTCTTCTTGATAGATGGTTTTCGCCATGATTATATCAACGATGAAGCACTTGAATCCTTGCCAGGCTTCAAAGAAATTGTGAACAAGGGAGTGAAAGCGGATTATTTGATCCCAGACTTTCCGAGTCTTTCCTATCCAAACTATTACACCCTGATGACTGGTGAGTATATTCTTTGGCTTCCTTACTAGTGGCCTTTAAGGTCTAGCAGCCTTAAATGCTGCAGATCGCATAAGGTCACTAGATTCCTCACAGTAAGGCTGCCAGGATGAATACAAAGTTTTCAGTTAAAAATTCATCCTCAGTGAAGGTTCAAAGGCATGACTGGAATTAATGATAACATGAACAGATACATCAGGTTTCTCCACTCTAATTTTCAGATAAGAAATGCTTTGCATAAATGGAATCGCTCCCAAAAGTTAGTTGTAGTTGTAGAAGGAGTAGGCATGTTAGTCTGTGCAAACTTTGTTCGGTTGTTTCAAAGGATCATGGGGTAAAAACGCAAAAACATCATAAACTTTGATGCTTAACAGTTGAAATGACCATTAAAAAAATGAATATTCAGCTGAATTTGCCTCTCAGGAGAGAATACCTGGCAGTAACAAATGTAATTAAATGACTCTATGATGCACAATATTTGTCTCATTACTGGAATACTGGATTATGCTAAGTCCTCTTTCCCTCCTTTAGAAATAACTCATGATATACCTCACTCATTGCTGAAACTGGACAATCAAGTTTGGGGATGATATTAAAAATATTCCTTGTAAAATCAGAGATCCTTTAATTACATAAAGCAAAATCTGTAGTTCTAACTAAAACTAAAAAAAAACAACCATAAGGGGGAGTTTGCAGTTGTCATTATTTTCTTTTTTCTTTTTGTTCATTATTTGTCACATATGGGAATGCAAATATTTATGTGCCTTATTTATAACTTAAATAATTTAAGCATTTAAGCATACTGAAGATTCAATGCATCCCTCCCAAGAAAAATTAGTGCTCATGTCGTTTCCAGTATACCCATCAAACAGGAACTTTTCACCCTCTGAAATGGTTTTCTAGAATACCTTTAATGATGCATATCCTTCCTGATTCTAAAGATTCATGGCAGTGCTCTGATACTTGCATAATAAAAACATAAGCAAATTAGCATAACATAATGGTTTGTGACTTTGTGCTACTGTTGATAAGTATGTTCCTTATAATGCAGACTTCATTTCCAGCAATTAACTATTTTGACTGCTCAGATTATTTACCTTAGAAAAGCCCTATTTCATTCACATGGATTCCTTCACAGTCAGCAATTTGTGGACTGGAACTTCTATGTTTCCAAAGTTCACTTTCTTTTCTTGAGCCTGTTACACAGCAGGAATGTGAAAGAAAGAAGCAGCAAAACAGAGAAAATGTTTAATGACCAGAAACCCCTCCTGATTAGAAGGCAAAGCACGAGTTTTGTAAAAACAAAGGGCCACAATTTTATTAAGTATAAAGGATATGCCACAGCTTAAATGAATTGAGAAGTACAGACTAATACAACTAACCATTCAAGGTAAAATAAATGGGAAAATTGTACACAAAATAGAAGAAATTCTGGGCTGAAAACTTTTTGAGGCTGGTTTAGATGCAACACAGTTTCATTGTCTTATTTTTAGAAAGATGGTAAAGACCAAATTATTTAAAGCTGTCTTTAATAACTGAAACTCCAGGATGCTGTCAATAACAACTTTTTAAATTATTTATATTTATGATCATAATTATTGTCTGTAATACTCCTATATTGTTTTTGAATTGATTTTTTGATTATTGTGGGATATTGAGGATTGTAAGTTTTAATTTTGTGTAAACTGCCCTGTAGGACGATATATAAATCGTGGTCCAGATAGGCGGGATAAAAATAAAATAAATAAATAAATAAATAAATTGAATGAATGAATGAATGAAAACAGCCACATGGAAGTTAAGAATAGCCATGTGATATCCAGCCATTGGTAGGAAAGGAACAAGGACAGCCATAAAAAGAAGGCAGCCATAAACTAGAATCATGCTGCTATAATTGTGTAGTGTAAATTCAGTCTTGTAGGATATTTATAGGTATAAGCAAGTACTGTACCTGTTTGACACCACTTCAGCTTTCATGTATCCATCCCTGGGATCTGTAGTTTGAAATGGTGCTTAAAATTCTCTGTTGTCATACAGGGGGAATATACTAGACTCTCTGGCATAGAATTATGAGAGTAATCTAATAAACTACAAATCCTAACATTGCATAGGGCACACCCAAGGCAGTTCAAGTGGAATGGTACAGTTCTAAACTGTATTGTATAGATATACCTTCAGAAGTCTCTTGCTACTCATAATTAATAGCCATTCACAGAAACGACAGATTTACAATAATCCACAGAAAAGCTATCTATCTATCTATCTATCTATCTATCTATCTATCTTATTTATTTATATCCTGCCTATCTGGTCGATATGACCACTCTAGGTGGCTAGAGTGGGGCATCTGCAAGCAGGCTTGCAATACATGTCCTGTTTTAATATAATTCCTTGCATTAAAAGACATGCAGTTCCAGCTGTTGGCTGCCCAGAGCTGGAAGGCTTCCCAGCTACTGACAATGCTAGGGATAGGCCAGCAGAGTCCTCACCCTCTCAACATGCACCAAAAACTGCAGCTGACCACACACACACACACACACACCCGTATCTGTTTTTGCAACTCACTAAGTCGTCAACAACTCTACTAGCCCAATTCTGGTGCTGTCAGTAGGAAGCTTCCTAAAACTGGCTGATGAGTGAGGGAAGCCCTGAGGTGCTTTACCAAAATGTGGGCTGGTGCCATTTTTTAAATCACAGTAGGGTTTGCAGCAACTGTAGTACCCACAAATTCCACCTGGTTTTCCCCCAGTGTGTAGTTTCACCCTTGTGCAACAATACCATCATTTTTCTTCAATGAATTTTCATTGGTAAGAAAAAAGATGAAAAGAACAATGTGGAAACTCTGAAGCAGTGGAAGTTGCAAAGCTGCTAATATACCAGGGCAGTTGGTGAGAGAATAAAAGTGTTTGTTGTGTACTTCACCACTGAGGTGAAAATATAGCAGGAGGACGCCGAGAATCAAAATGAAAGTAATCTTGAAACACTGCTTGTTTGCCTACTGTCTCTGACCATTGGATTCCACATTATGTATGTATGTATGTATGTATGTATGTATGTATGTATGTATGTATGTATGTATGTATGTATGTATGTATGTATGTATGTATGTATGTATGTATGTATGTATGTATGTATGTATGTATATCCTGCCCATCTGTTATATTCTACCACTCTACATCCTTTTTACTTCTCTTCCAGCAGTTATCCCTCTAGGCATGTTGCTCTTTCAGTGCTTGTGCCTGAGATATCTACACTCACACAAACTAAGAAGAGCAAACTGATTTTCCAAATGTGTATTGAGGCCACCTGATGCTAGAATAAGCACATAATGTTTTCCTTTTAAAGATGCACTTCCTCTGGATGCAGAATCAATGTCTTATCTAGTGACACCCTGAGTATATAATAGATGTGAGATGCCTGAGGTGCATCCCACCACTTTCACCCTCAGCAGTTGTGGAGATTTAGCAGGGAAAGCAAATGAGCAAGTAGAAGTACAGTGGCTACAGTCCTTGCTGGAGGAGAGAACTCAGAAGGTGGTGCTGGGGGACTCCTGTTCGAAACTGTGGCCACTGGTCTGTGGAGTCCCTCAGGGCTCTGTTTTGTCTCCTATGTTATTTAACATCTACATGAAACCACTGGGAGAGGTTATCTGGAGTTTGGGGGTTTGGTGCCACCAGTATGCAGAGGACACCAAACTCTATCTCTCCTTGCCACCTAAATCCGAGGAAGCTACTTTTGCTCTTGATCAGGGTCTAGTATCAGTAATGGACTGGATGAGTGTGAATAAACTGAAACTTAATCCAGACAAGACAGAAGTGCTCCTGTTTAGTTGAAATGCAGCTCAAGGAACAGGGATGGAGCCTGTACTGGATTGGATTACCCTACCTTTGAAAAAGCATGTGCGCAGCTTGGGGGTGCTCCTAGATTCATCCTTGAACTTGGATGCCCAGGTCTCAGTGGTGGCCAGAAGTGCAATTGCACAATTAAAACTAGTGTGCCAACTACATCCATTTCTTGAGAGATCTGATCTGGCCACTGTGATACATGCCTTAGTTACTTCCCAGCTGCCTTCGGAAGATGTCAGGAAACTCCAGTGGGTCCAAAATGCAGCAGCCAGATTGCTGACTGGGGCTGGTTACAGGGATCCCATAATCCACCTGGTACAGCAACTCCACTGCCCATCAATTACCAGGCACAAGTTAAAGTGCTGGTTTTAACCTATAAAGCCCTAAATGCCATGGGCCCAAGCTATCTCAAAGACTATCTCCCATTATGAGCTGGCTCGGGTGTTAAGATCATCAGGAGAGGGCTTTCTGTCAGTCCCACCACCTTCACAGGTGCAGAGACCTTTCTCTTCAGACAAGCCTTCCCTCAGTAACCAGCTATCTGTGTGTAATTTTTAGATAGATTGTTAGGCATTACTGTTTTGACTGGATTGTTAGTACTACTTGTATTTTTCCTTGCTGAATGACATTTATTTAAAAATATTGTATACTTATTGATCTTTGCCTTAATATTGCTTGTTAATTGATGCAAGATGCCTCCTTATTCATTGTTCACAATTTTAAATACCCCCTTTTAATTATGTTAACCACTGTTATATACTCATCATTTTCAGCTTTAAATATTGTCTTTCATTGTTGTAAGCCACAACAAGGAGAAAGGTGGGGTAAAAATATTTTAAATAAATAAGTACAAATAAATAGATGCTGGGCCCATTGAGAACATCTTCTTCAATCCCTTGTACTAGAAGCCAGCCCTAGGAACTCTCAGATCTGTTGTTATGTCTTCCCTATATCTGTTCTAAACTGCCAGATGTTGTTTTCCTTACACATATCCTCTCCCATAGGCTGGAGAGGTTTCCTTTTCCCCAGGTTTTAATACATATGTCATTCCCAAAGTCTGAGAGATTGCCCTTTTCAGAAGAATTTATTCTAAACATGAGCTCTCATTGATGAGCCAACCAGTCACTGCAGAATGTTAACCATCACTTTATCTAAGAA